ATGAATTGTGCTTTGTTTTTCTTTAACTGCTTCTTTGTTTGCAAAGTGCTTTAACTGTGTATAAGATTTTCTTCAGGAAGAGCAATATTTCATTCAATAGGTTCATCTAGTAGTTGAAAAGCTGAATATATTTAAACCTACCAATACTAAATCGCGCTATATATAGCTATTTTATTAACAATAAATCACAAAATGATTAATTAAATATAACAGTTAAGTCAATTCATTTTACTCTAAATACAAGTCAAAATTTCATATGGAGTTCAAGAATTTTATGTCAAATTTCATATGGATTTCAAGAATTTTCTCGCGTACGAACCCCCATAAAACGTATGAAGAATATTACAAGTTATAAGCTACTATAACAAAATTAATATAATTGACACATATGCATGCAAATTTAGGTATAAAAATACAACAGGATTCGAGTTCTTAAAAATTTAGAAAAAAATCCTTTTTAACGTAAAAAAGCATTACTTTCAATGACTTTAAGACAGTAAGGTCGTTACTACTTTTTTTTTTAAACTTCTACTTTTTATGTATGCTGATTATAATTTAAGTGACGTATATGTGCATCTTTTTGATAAAATATTAAAAATATTTGACATTTCAATTTAAAAATCTAGAAATGATAACGAAACCGCTATTGATTGGTCTATTTTTAGCCAGCTACTAAAACAATTTCACTATCGAATGCAAAGTATTAGTTGATATTTGTGTAAAAAGAACAGCAGCAAAGATCGCTTACCTTTGATTAATATTTAAAATTGAGAAATTATTTCGTACATGGGCATGCTTAAAATCACGCTAAACTGCAAGGGGTTGATATAACTTTCCTTCAAAAGTGAAAATTCAAAATGGCGACCGTAGTGTTTCCGTTACCGCTACGAATGATCTCTGCGTCTCTAGAAAGCAGCTTATTTACGAATAATATTGCAAAAAATGGTAAGTCTGCCCTCAGATTTTTGAATACTTTTTTCTATTATCGTAAATTACCCCTGAAATATTGTTGAAAATTGAAAGCCTTGTACCACGCGTGTATTCAACTTTGACCTTTAAAATTTTCAGGAGCAATTTTTTCGATAAAATTCGTTATGGTTTTTAATCAGTAGCAAAAATAATAGAATGTTCAACATCGACATATTTATAGATTGAAAATCTACATTTTCTGTCGCTATGCATATTCTTATGGTAGTATTTCATTAGATTTATTTTCAAGTGCATCCCAAGGTTAAATGACTAGAAACATTTTGCACTGAATATGCATTTATTTTGAGCTTCAGCTAACAACAGTTAATTTTGCAGTAACTGCATTGTCGAAAAGATGCCTTACATAAAAAATTTTGGCCCTGGGCCATTAATATTTATATATTTTTTTATTTGAACTTTGAC